CATGGTTGCTTCTTGCAGGGCTCCCTTAGAAAAGAAGCCATCTGCTGGCTCCCTTGATGTAGGCAGTACTTCCACTATGACTGGCTATCCCCAGGCAGGCACCAAGGCTGCAGCCCTTTGGGCATGGATGAACTTTGATTTACCACATGGGCCCCCACTCACTGCTGCATGAGCCCTCCTTGTCTCCCAGGCATCTGAAGAGTCCCTTTTCTTGCTTTCCATCTCAGCTCTGTATTTTGCATTTTTAAAAATACTATGTTTTGACCCCAAATAGACAAAGCAATCTTGAGAAAGAAGAACAAAGCTGGAGGCATCACACTTCCAGATTTCAAACTTTATTACAAAGCTATAGTAATCAGAACGTTATGCTATTGGCATAAAAACAGACATGTAAAAAAAAAAAAAAAAAGACACATAGATCAATAGAACAGAATAGAGAGCCCAGAAATAAACCCATGCTTATATGGTCAATATATTTATGACAAAAGTCAAGAATATACAATGGGGAAAGGATAATGTCTTCAATAAATGGTGCTGGGAAAGCTGGACAGCCACATTGCAAAAGAATGAAACTGGACCCTTATCTTACACCATAGACAAAAATTAACTCAAAATAGATTAAAGACTTGAATGTAAAGCCTGAAACCATAAAACTCCTAGAAGAAAATATAGGAGGTAAGCTCCTAGATATCAGTCTTGGTAATGAATTTTTTGGATTTGACACCAAAAGCAAAGGCAACAAAAGCAGAAATCAACAAGTGGGTCTACATCAAACTAGAAAGCTCATGCACAGCAAAAGAAGCCATCAACAAAATGAAAAGGCAACCCCCAGACTTGCAGAAAATATTTGCAAATCATATATCTGATAAGGGGTTAAATATTCAACATATATAAAGAACTAATACAGCTCAATAACAACAACAAAAACAATTTGATTAAAAAGTGGGCAAAGGGGCTTCCCTGGTGGCACAGTGGTTGAGAGTCTGCCTGCCAATGCAGGAGACATGGGTTCGTGCCCCGGTCCGGGAAGATCCCACATGACGTGGAGCGGCTGGGCCCGTGAGCCATGGCCGCTGGGCCTGCGCGTCCGGAGCCTGTGCTCCGCGATGGGAGAGGCCACAACAGTGAGAGGCCCACGTACCACAAAAAAAAAAAAAAAAAAAAAAGTGGGCAAGGATCTGATAGACTTTTTTTTCCAAAGAAGACATATGGATGGCCAAAAGTACATGAAAATGTACACATCACCACTAATCATCACTAATCATGAAAATGCAAATCAAAACCACAGTGAGATATCACCTCACACCTCTGAGAATGGCTATTATCAAAAAGACAAATAAGTGTGGGCAAGGATATGAAGAAAAAGAAACCCTTGTGCGCTGTTGGTGGGAATGTAAATTGGTGCAGCCACTTGGAAAACAGTATGGAGGTTCCTCAAAAAATTAAAAACAGAATTACCATATGATACAGCAGTTCCACTTCAGGTATGTATCCAAAGGAAATGAAACCAGTATCTTGACATCTGTATCCCCATGTTCATTGCAGCATTATTTACAATAGCCAAGATACGGAAACAACCTGAGTGTCCATTGATGGACACTGAAAATGTAATACACACACACACACACACACACACACACACACACAAGAATACTATTTAGCCATGTAAAAGAAGGCAACAACATGAATGGAACTTCAGAGCATTATGCTAAGTGAAAGAGGTCAGACAAAGACAAATACTATATGATCTCACTTATATGAGGAATCTAAAAAACAAAAAAACACCCCAAAACTGAACTGAACTTATAGATTGGTGATTGCCAGAGGCAAGGGTGGGAGGGTAGGTGAAATGGGTGAAGGCAGTCAAAAAGTGTAAACTTCTAGTTACAAGATAAGTCCTGAGGATGTAATGTATAGCATGATGACAATAGTTAACAACAACCAAAAAGTACTATTTTTATCATAGTAGATGGTCCTCTACCTTCCGTGCCTCCTCCTGACAGCAAACTCATAGTATGAGGCTCTCCCTGGGGAAGCAGGTGTAAGAACAGGGAAAGGGAGGAAGGGTCCTGCACAGCCCTGGGATGGTCATACATCCCACAAGAGAGAAAAAGGCCAAAAATATGAACATAGGAGGTCAAGTCAGAAGAACACGGAGAGACAACTGTGCTTCCAGGGTCCAGAGACCCGGAGATGTCATTTCCTTCCATCCATCCATCCTCCCACCCACCTGCTCAGAGGTAATCTCAACCTGTGGAGGGAGGAGACGCATCAATCCCTGGTCATGGCCAAGGGTGGCTCCAGTGCCAGGGAGAAGTGACCGAGTAGAGTGAGACAAGCTCTGGTGTAGAAGTCAAGAGCCCTGGTTCTCTTCTTGGCTCTGCCACTGACTAGCTGTGTGAATCAGGTTGTATGGCTAGACCATTCTGGACCTCAGTCTCCTCACCTGTAAAATGGGGACAGTTGGACCAGAAGGTAGATGGGGCATTATACCCATCTCCTTCTCCGCAGACAAGCTCTACAATGAGGCCGTGGCAAAGGCCTTCCTGCAGTTTTATGAGCGTACAGCCCAAGTTGTGTGGAACCAGTTCATGGAGGCCACCTGGAACTATGTCACCAACATCACCAAGAAGAATCGCGGGGAGATGGTGTGGTACCACTTCCACCCCAGCCCCTTCTCCCCTTGCTCTTCTCAGGGGTCTCGGTGGGGGAATGGGGGGGAAACCACACTTTTTTGCCCCCTTTCCAGAGCTAGAGGAAAAAGGGAAGCCCCAAAGTACATGTCAAAACAGACTGTAAGCTCCAGGCCTCTTGGTAGCCCTAAAGATCTCTAAGTAAGAGTCTCTTGTTTCTTTCCCCTTGTAGATATCCCCTGCTTGCTTTTAAGGACCAGGCTCCCTCCCTTCTCCCTCTTAGCAAATTTTCAATGATTCCAAACCCTTAAAGTGGGCTTTGGGGGACTTCCCTGGCAGTCCAGTGGTTAGGACTTCGCCTTCCAATGCAGGGGGTGCGGGTTCAATCCCTGGTCGGGGAGCTATGATCCCACGTGCCTGGCGGCCAGAACCAAAACAGAGCAATATTGTAACAAATTCAATGAAGACTTTAAAAATGGTCCACATCAAAAAAAAAATCTTTAAAAAAAAAGTGGGGCTTGGGAGGAGGTTGGGGGGCTGTGAGACCCTGACACTCTCCCTCAGCCTCACATGACAAACACAGTGACCCTCCTTCCAGCTGGACAAGGATGTGGAGCGGTCCCAGCACGCGCTGTACTTTTGGCACGCGGGCCCTCCTGTTTAAGATCGCCAGCTTCCAGGACCCAGCCGTGAAGCGCATGTTGAGTAAGCTGCAGAACTTGGACAGGGCGGTCCTGCCCAAGGAGGAGCTCCGGGAGGTGAGGACAGGCCCCCAGGTCTCCAGGGTGGGTGGGCTGCCTGGCGGGGAGCCGCCGGGGGCAGGAGGGAGGTTGGCAGGCAGGGCCAGAGCTTCCTCTGGAGGAGGAGGGAAGCAGAGACTGGCGGGAAGATGCCTTGGCCAGGCCTGCCTCTCCAGGCTGGTGGGGCTAGTACCAGGGGTGGGCCCACAGGTACCGGCCTGCCCTGGGTGACACCCGTCCCCCCAGTACAACCAGATTGTGGCCCACATGGAGACCACATACAGCATGACCCAGGTGTGCCTGAATGAGGGGCCCTGCCTGCCCCTGGAGCCTGAGGAGCACCCCAGCCCATCCCGACCAACCCCAGAGTCTCAGCACCAGCCCCTTCCAGGAGCTTCTAGACTCCCACCCTCCTCCTGGTCCCAACTGCCCTGTTGGCGGGGGCGGGGAGAGTGGGTGCCTGGGGCAGGTGAGGGCAGAAGGCCGCCGCTGGAGTGGGATCCCACCTTGGCTCCTTTTCCGGGCACAGACCTCCAAGAAGTCACGGCCTCCTCCCGGGACCAGAGGGAGCTGCTGTGGGCCTGGCAGGGCTGGCGGGATGCTATGGGTCACCAGCTCCACAGCACCTTCGAGCGCTACGTGCAGCTGCGAAGCTCAACGGTGAAGCCCCTCCCCCGCCCCACACGTACCAGCCAGCCCAGCTGGGGGCCGACCAGGTACTGCGTGGGGCTCAGGGCAATGCTGGGAAGGGCAAAGCAGAGTCTGCAGAGGGGAAGGGTGGTGGTAGGACCTGGAGATGGGAACCCTGAGCCCTGCCGCTGGGGAGGGCAAGGTGACTCACTCATTGTGTGGTTCCACAAACGGTGATGGGGCACTTACTGTGTGCTGGTGCTGGGGAGGTTCTGAGGATGCATAGGTAAAAAGACAGAGAAGGTGCCCACCCTCCTAGGGCTTACAGTTCGCTGGGGGACAGACGCACATCTCCAGTTGTTGCCGCCGGGATGAATGCTGAGCAGGAAGGGGCTGCAGAGAGAGAATAGGGGAGCCCTGCTTCAGCTAGGTGGTCAGGGAAAGCCTCGCTGACGTTTATCCAAGGCCTGAAAGATGGAATGAGCCAGGCAGCAAGAAGAAAAGAGCATCCTGAAGTCCTTGGGAGGATCTAAAGGAAGGCGGACTGGATGGGTAGGGCTTGAAGTGGGTGAGAGCGGAACAGGGCTTTACCCAGGTCCTATCCAACCAGGCAAGGGGAAGAGCACACAGTATGTACTTTGCTAAGTGCCTTTCCACCCTGATCTCATCCAATACGGACAGTGGCCTTGGGAGGTGTTTTTCCTGTTTGGCAAATGAAGACCCCTAAGGATCTAGGAGGTCAGGTGGCTTCCCTAGAAGGTGCTTGGGTCTCCTGCCAGCCAGGCCAGGCTGAAGGGTGGTAGCGCCTCTGAGCCCCCTCCCCTTTCCTAGGTTACAAAGACATGGGGGCCTTATGGCGGTCCACGTACTAGCCCGACACACTGGAAGAAGACCTGGAGCAGCTCTTCCAGGAGCTGCAGCCGCTCTACGTGAACCTGCACGCCTACGTGCGCCTGCGTGCACCTACGTGCGCCGGGCCCTGTATTGCTTCTACGGGCCCGAGCTCATCGATCCGAGGGGGCCCATCCCAGCCCACGTTCTGGGTAAAACCCCAGCTGGCAGCAGAGGCAGGGCGAGCGGAGTAGGCCTCCAAGCAGGCAGGCGAGCAGGCGCTCAGTCGGGGGAGAGCCAGTCTCCTGCCTCCTCTCAGCCCTCCCCTCCCCTTCCAGGCAACATGTGGGCTCAGTCCTGGGTCAACGTCTTAGACCTGGTCCTGCCCTTCCGGAGAAGCCCCCCGAGGACATCACGAAGATCATGTGAGGCCAGGTCAGCGCTCGACCTCGGTCTGCCCCTGCCCACTCCGCAGCCCTGAGTGGGGCCCCACGCACTTCCTCTTCCTCACAGCAGTGGAAGTCTGAGAAAATGTTCCAAGAGGCTGAAAAATTCGTCACCTCCCTGGGGTTGCTTTCCACCCCTCCTGAGTTCTGGAAAAATGCCATGATGGAAAGGCCAACGGACGGGCGGGAGGTGGAGTGCCACGCATCCGCCTGGGACTTCTACGAGGGGAAGGACTTCAGGTGCTCAGCCTATGGCCAGCATCACCCCCTGCCTCTGCTCCTTCCGCTCTCCACCTGTCTGCCTGGCTCAGGAGGGCAGCGGGGGGTGGGGGGGTGGGGGGGGCCAGGTGGGTGGGAGCAAAGGGCTTGGCCGCTGCTTGGATGTGAGGCCTGGAGTAACAGCATAAGGCCCTGCTGGTCTCTGGCTCGACCACCCCCGTCCGTTAACAGAGCCTGAATGGAGAAATCTCTCCTCCCAGGGCATCCCCATGCTCCTTGAGCCCTGCCCTTTAACCCTAGGATAAAGAAGTGCACCGAAGTGACCATAGAAGATCTGCTCTCCATCTTCCACCAGATGGGCTATATCCAGTACTTCCTGCAGTACAAGAACCTCTCTGTGATCTTCCACACAGGTGTCAACCCAGCCTTTGAAGAGGCCGTGGGGTCGGTGATCACCCTCTCGGCCTCCTCCCATCAGCACCTGCTCAGCAGGGCCCTGCTCAGCCACCAGCGCCAGGATGAAGGTGGTGGGGACCAAGGGGATCATAGGAGGCCAGTCTGGGCCTGGGGCTGCAGCTGGGGCTCTCCAGGCAAAGCTGAGGGGAGGGGGAACTGGGAGCAGCCTCCTAACAGCCCCACTTTCCCCAGAAGAGGAGGTCAGTTTCCTGATGAACGTTGCCCTGGAGAAGATCGCCTTCATCCCCTTCGCCTACCTGGTGGACCTGTTTCGCTGGAAGGTCTTTGACGGCACCATCGAGAAGGCCGTGTACAGCCAGGAGTGGTGGAACCTCAGGTGGGGAGGACAGCTGATCGGGCCCACTGCCCAGGCCCAGCGCTGGTGTGGGCTTTCCCAGGGCTTTCAGGGCAGCCTCAAGGGTACCACCTGCTACCAAAGAGCGCTGCTGCCTCTCCTGTGAGGGCAGAGCTGGGAGTGAGATGCTGCTGACCTGGGGCCATGGGGAAGCCCTGGGGTGGCGTTGGCTGTTTGCTGTCACCGGACAAAAGCGTTCCTGCTGAAGTGGGTGGGGCCCGAGCGTGCAGTCGTGGGGGATCATGTCGAGTGCAGCACCAGCTGAGCAGTCCCCTCAGCCTCTGGGGATCCTGGGAGCCCGGGAAGCTCGCACATTCGTTGCGCCTGGGCTCCTCCAAGAACAGGACACTGCCTGCCGGGCAGGCCTTCCTGCTCCTCCCCTCCCTTTCTGTGCCCACCAGTGGGACCAGCAGAAGGGGTGTTTGGGGGGCTGAGATCTTTCCCTCCTGTGGAAAGAGTCCTCATGGGACAGGGGCAGGCCCAGTGCCCCCTTTCCTGCTACCTGGACACGCACACACACCTGCCTCTGACTTAGCATCCCCAGACCTGTCTGCAGGCAGAGCTGGCAACAGAAGGAGCACCACCAGCAGTCGGGCAGCATCAGTCTTGAGTGAGGGGCACCTGTGTCCATCCCATCACTGACCCCTGGCTGTTTGCTTGGGTAATAACTGCCCATGACTATGGCTTCTCCATCTCCACTAGGCCTCAGACTGACCAGCTCAGGTCTGCTTGCGACAGACGACCCTGATGGGCCTGCTAGCTCTGCACCAGGCCCTTACGTTGGCCATTCACAGAAGAAGGTGTGATCACCCTGCGGTCACACCGCCATCCAGGGATGGCAGAGCTGGGCGCCCCTCCCTTTGTCTTCTCACCCTCACACCCCCGCCCTGAATACAGGGCCAGGCCTCACTGGAGGGACTGGCAGAGTCTTGACTTTGTGCCCCCTCCGAGGGCACCCCCACCAGCCATCTGAAGTGCCTGCCCAGGACCTTTTCCTTCCTCTCTCGGCCATGCCCACCACCACCTGAGTGATGGAAACCTGGGGTTGAGGGAGAGGGACGGCAACTCCCTGGTCCTTGAACAAAAACCTGTCAATGAGAGAGGAACTTCCCTCAGAGGATAGTTCAAGGCTCCAGTGGGCCAACAGTGAAACGATGAGCTTGTTCACAGGCTTTGTCTCATCCCAAAGATGGGTCATTTTATCCCCATTTCACAGACAACATTTTACAACAAGGCTCAGTGACAATCAATAACTTTCCCATAGTCACACAGCTCAGAGGGTCAAAACCAGACCTGAACATGAAAGTTATTAGGGTCTGCCCATGACTGTTCTGTGTCCTGCTACCAATTCCCTGATCCCTAAGCCTCGGTTTTCTTCATCTGTAGAATGGGAATAGTAGTAGTACTATACCACAGGGATGTTACTCTCTTTTCTTCTTGGCACTTATTTTTTTTTTTATTTTTATTAGAGTATAGTTGACTTAAATGTGTTAGTTTCAGATGGACAGCACAGTGAATCAGTTATATATATACATATATCCACTCTTTTTTTTTTTAAGATTCTTTTCCATATAGGCCATTACAGAGTATTGAGTAGAGCTCTCTGTGCTATACAGCAAGTTCTCAGAAGTTATCTATTTTATATATAGTAGTGTGTATATGTCAGTCCCAATCTCCCAATTTATCCCACCCCCTGTTATCCCCTGGTATCCTCTTGGCACTTTTTTTTTTTTTTTAAATATTTATTTATTTATTTATTTATTTTTGGCTGTGTTGGGTCTTGGTTTCTGTGCGAGGGCTTTCTCTAGTTGCGGCAAGTGGGGGCCACTCTTCATCGCGGTGCGCGGGCCTCTCACTGTCGCAGCCTCTCTTATTGCAGGGCACAGGCTCCAGACGTGCAGGCTCAGTAGTTGTGGCTCACGGGCCTAGTTGCTCCGCAGCATGTGGGATCTTCCCAGACCAGGGCTCGAACCCGTGTCCCCTGCATTGGCAGGCAGATTCTCAACCACTGCGCCACCAGGGAAGCCCCGGCACTTTTTATCAGATGAAACGACCTTGTTGGTTGGTCTACAACCGTCCCCCATCATTAGGATGAAGGCAGTGACCTTGCCTAGCTCATTCCCTCCTGTGCCCCCAGAACCAGGACAATGTTGAGTGAGTCTGTGTGAAGAGCTTGGCACGGTTCCTGCAGAGAGGAAGTGCTCAGTGTTCACTATTGTTATTATTTGATTCTGATTCCCAATCCCGTGTGTTTTCAACTCATTTATTTAATCAGTAAAAATGCATTAAGTGTCCTCTGCATGCCAAGTCGCTTTGATAGCTGTGCAAATGTTTCAAAAGGAAAAGGCTCTGGGAACGCTACTGGATGGCACTATCAAGCCCCCAATTTGCCCCCCGCCCCCAGGTTGAAGTACCAGAGCCTGTGCCCCACTGTCCCTTGGACAGAGGATGACTTTGATCTGGGCGCCAAGTTCCACATCTCTGCCAGCTTGCCCTACATTCCGTAAAGGTCTGGGCCCTGCCAGCAGAACCGGCTCTTCGAGTTGGGAGCCGGGGGCATAGGACCCAGGCTGAGGATTTCCAGGAAGGCACCGGATCCAAATGTCCCCCTGCACCCCTCCCCACATCCTCCCATCAGATGGCACAGCCTTCTGAGGGCCATGCCCTGAACCCACTGGGCTTTTACATCAGCTCCCGCGTGGAGGGCAGAGCTGATGGGAAAGCGTGTCTGATGTCCCTGAGAGGAGGGAAGGAACGAGGGAGGCCAGCATAGGTTTGATTCAGAAGGCTAGGAAGGAGAGCCCTTGCAGTGCTCCAGGGCCAGCCTACCCCACTGTGACTGCTGACCCAGGCCCACCTCTGCCACCCCTCCCTAGCCAGCCTTGCCTTCTCTCCCCAGGTACTTCCTCAGCTTCGTGCTCCAGTTCCAGTTCCATGAAGCACTCTGCAAGGCCTCAGGCCACATGGGGCCCCTGCACTGATGCGACTTCTATAACTCCTAGCCGGCTGGGAAGCTCCTGGAGTGAGTGCCTTCCTCCCTCCCCTGTCCTTGGCTCCCCTTCCCCACCTTGCAGGAAGCCTGCCCCAGGGCCCCTCTTCTCACCTGGCCACCCTAGGCCCCCTGAGCAGAGCTTGTGTTCTAGTGGAAGTTCTTCCTTCTGTCAGACTGCAGTCTCTCCTATGTTAATCAAAGCTCATTTCCTCTTGTGTAGCCACTTGTGGTCAGAGAGACTGTTTAGCCCCTCCTGCTAACACACACACACACACACACACTCTCTCTCTCTCTCTCTCTCTTTCTCTCTCACTCACTCACTCACTCACTCACTCACTCACTCACTCACATAGCCAATAAACCAAACTGTCCCAGATCAGAACCCAGTGTTGGAGTCCTGCCTCTGCCTCCATCTTCCATCTGAATCCCCGTATTCTTTCTTGGCAAGTCGCTTGCCTAGCCTCTCAGCAGCATTTGATAAGGTGCACTGTGCTTTTTCCATCTTTTCTTGGAAGCGTCTGAACCCAGTTCCCAGGCCGATCCAGGTGGCTTTCACACCAGCCTCTTGGCACACTCTGATCAGCTGTGGTCTACTTTGACCCCCTACCCGCAGTCTTTTTTCCTGCACTTGGTATCTAGCCCATCCTTTCCATCCCTGCCTCTGTGGCACTGCTTCCTGGTCCTGAAGCAAACCTGGAGTGGGGCGAGAGGCTGACCTGATGGTGGGAAGCATTTACTGCTACAGGCTGGGCTCTCTAACAAGAGCTCTTACAGTGTTTCACGTTAGCAGCTCATAACTTTGCAAAATGGATATTATTATCCACATTTCGTAAATGATGAAACCAAAGCTAAGAGAGGTAATGTGATCCCCTAGTGCACATCGCTCAACTAGGAAGTGGCAGAGTCATGCTTTGAGGCCCAAACTGACTCCAGATCACAATGTCTTTCACCCTGTTGCTTCCATAAGTCAAACGATACTGGTCTGGTGAAGTTGACCTAGTCCACTGGTCCTAAGATCAGCGCTCCAACCACTGAGACGTGAGGCCCACCCAGTGACATGGTCTTTTCCCCATTGAGTTTCAACCGATTTCAGTAGGTCCATTACCCTAACCTGTCAAGGTCATGTTGAGGTTTTTTTTTTTTTTTTTTTTTTTGCGGTGCGTGGGCCTCTCAATGTTGTGGCGTCTCCCGTTGCGGAGCACAGGCTGCGGACGCGCAGGCTCAGCGGCCATGGCTCACGGGCCCAGCTGCTCCGCGGCATGTGGGATCTTCCTGGACCAGGGCACGAACCCGCATCCCCTGCATCGGCAGGCGGACTCTCAACCACTGCGCCACCAGGGAAGCCCCAAAGCCTCTTTTTAGTATCCTAATAATTACCCACAATAATTTAGTATGCTTTGCAAATTTAATGAGCACATTTGTGATTCCACCATGCCATTCATCAGTAACCACAAGGCCAGATGGAGTTGCAGGACTGGTCCCTGCCTTTGCTTGCAGGAGGGCTACACCTTGCATGCCTTCTTGTCTGCCTAGTCTACTTGCTTTTCCATCTTTTCGTACTACAGCAGTTTATTCTAGTCGACTGCCCAGGTTTGAGCTTCTCTGAATGTGTGAAACATAAGAGGCCTCTCTGCTCCCTCCATTCATGTTTCTGGCTGCCTATCATTTATTCATTCAGCAAACATTTACTTGTGCACGTGCCAGCGAGCCTGCCCTGCGTCCAGCAGGGGGCAATGGGCCACAGGATAAATCAATAACCGTAATCCAAGAAAGGAGATGGTGCAGTAAGAAAGGGCTTTGGCGAACATGTAAAGAGAGTGAGGAGGTCATGCCAGGGGATCAAAGAGGGATCTCTGACCCCCAACGCAGGAGTACAAAGAATAGCAGACATCCATTTTCTATACATCAACTCACTTTTGTTTTCTGTTGTTTTCTTATTTTGGCCACACCGCGTGGCATGTGGGATCTTAGTTCCCCGACCAGGAATCGAACCCTCACCCCCTGCAGTGGAAGCCTGGAGTCTTAACCATTGGACCGTCAGGGAATTCCCAACATCAACTCACTTTTGACTCTGAGCCTTCATCCTGCTTGGTCGCTGGGACTTTTGAGCTCAGTCATTCTCATCACTTCCCTCCCCCACTCCACACAGGGCACACAAGGCTCCCAGGGTGTGACTTGACACCAAGCATGTAGAAGCCTTGCCGGTCATCACTAGGCATATTGTGGAGGGATGGGGCAGGCACGTGCTTGCAGGGGAGAAGGGGAAGGGCAAGATTCTTGGCTGCTCTTTTGCCTAACACAGCTTAAAACTTGATTTTGCTATTTTTGACTCATCTTCCTAAATGTGATTGCCGTGGGACAGCCTCTGGGTTGGCTCTCCTGGGAAGAGAGGGTCAAAGTGGACTTGGTCCAAATTCCCAAAGTCCCCTCCCTCACCCAGCCAGCCATGAGGACCTGACCCTGTCCATGGGGCCCGCTGCTGCCACATTGGAGTTGGGGGCTCCAGGCAGTGCCCAGTTGTCACCCTTGCAAGTCTCATGTGCTGCCCACATCAAACCTCTTGTCCCGCCCAGCCTGAAAGACTATTTCTGAGTAGGCAGACTCTGAGTGGTTGAAACTTTTCCCCCACCAGGTTCTTCTTTTTTCCCAGGACCTGGCATCTGATAAAAATCCTCTAACTTAAAGTTAGTTTTGTTTGTTTTTTTCTTTCTATCTTGATGAGTTTTCTCCTCCATTTCTCTAGGCTCATAACTACATTTCCCCCCAGTGGTTTCTTCCAAGGATCCACTGACCTTTAGTTTCCCCACCTCATTCTTTCCCAGCTGTTTGTTAAGCGTTGTGTATAAGTCTTTGCAAGCAACAAAGCCCTCTGTGCTGCCATTATGTGACTTAATCCTCACCACAGTGAAATGCAAGTATTAATGGAACCCGGCTTTACTGATGAAGAAGCTGAGGCTAAGAGAGGTTAAACTGATTGTCTGTGGTTGTGCGGCCCGTAGCTAGCACTGCTGGGTCTGAACCTGGGTCCTGTTAGTCTAGATTCCACACTCTGACTTCTGGGCCTCTCAGCCCCACCTCTCTCCTGGTCGGATCAGGGGAAACAGGTTGAGAAGCATCAACATACGCCTCCTGCTGCCTCTGCCTAAGGCTAGACCCCCTGCCACCAAGCACTGGGTGTGTCTTGAGACAGGGCTGACATTTCTGCAGCGCTGCAGGCAGTACACAGGACACATCCCATGCTTATTATCTCTCAAATCATCCCAAACACTCCCCGTGAGACCGGAAGAGACTGAAGAGTGACCTCTCTCTACTAACACTGAGCACCTCATGGGAAACATGAGGTTTCCCTCTTGACTTTAGGCTTATTTGAGTCCAGGAGAACAATAATCATCACAGTAGTAGTAATAATAATAATATTAGGCAAATATTTATTGCCTACCTAGTATGCTCCGAGAATTGTGTTTATTTGGCCAACACAACCACCCTAGGAGATAGGTACTGTTATTTTCTCCATTTTATGGATATGGAAATTGAAGTTCAGAAAGGTTAAGTACTTGCCCAAGGTCCCACAGCTGAGCCACAGAGGACTCAAACACAGGTTGGTGTTATTTCAAAGCTTGTGATTTTATCCACTGTGCTGAGCTCTGTTGGAAGAGTCTGGGTATCACAGCCCTAAAGGCAGGGTTGGGCCTACTGAGGGGTCCCAGCAGCATCAGCTGATCCCCCCACACAGCCTCACAGCTGTACCCACTCTCCCAGGGATGTCCTAAAGCTGGGCTTCAGCAAGCCCTGGCCAGAGGTCCTGCAGAAGATAACTGGGGAGACCAAGGTGTCTACAAAGGCCCTCATGACCTACTTCAGACCCCTGCTGAACTGGCTGGTCACCGAGAATGTGCGGCGTGGGGACATCCTGGGCTGGCCAGACTTCAGCTGTTCCTTTGAAGGTTTGGTAATCTGACCCTAATCCCACCACTGTTCTAGCCCCAAGCCCTACCCTAGCCTGCCCTGGGCCAGCCCTTACCCAACCCAGCCTTCACCCCTAGCCCGTCTATGACCTGGCTTTCTGCTGTGGAGCCCTGTCTGCACCTGATGCAGCCTCGGCCAGCCACTAGCTCGCTCAGATGCTTCCTTGCCCACTCTCCAGCTAGACTGCCGGGCTGGCTTCTGAGCACGGGGTGGGCACCTTGCCTCCCGACCCTTGCACGGAGCCACTGCTGGGCACCATGTGGTACACAGCCCTATCTGTACCATCCCTTCCTTCTCTTCCTTTTGCTCTCTTTCTCACTCTCCTTCCCAGGCAAGGCCCTCAACTTTGGCTTGGAAGGTGGGCGCCAGAGGCTGAGGGAGAAGGCCCGTGGCAGTCAGATCCTCTCTGATCACCATGAGGTACCCTCCCCAGTTCCACCTGCTTGGCAAGATTCCTGTGTCTTTCACAGAGAAAGAAACAGACAGGGAGGCACTCCTGGGTCTGGAGCTGGACCCTGCCCAGGCCAAATCTAGGCAGTGGGTGTTGCTGGCCCTGAGCTTTGTCATGTTACTGGTGGTCCTGTTGCTGGCCTACAGGCTGTACATCCTGGAAAAAAGCTCACTGGCCCAAGACACCAGAGCGCGGGACACCAGTGCACTCAAGTCACCACCCAAAGCCTGCTTTCTAGGCATAGCCATGGAGCCCCACCAAGTTGTCAAAAAACAGTGGCTGCTGCTGGGCCTCTGCCTCATCCTGATGCTGTGCTCCATCGGCCCGACCATTCGGATTTTCACACAGCACAACAGGAAGCCCCCGTGGATGAGAGCTGAATGGTGGAGCTGGGACTAGACACCAGTGTGACTGGTGAGGCTGGGGGGCAGGAGGAGGGTGGCCTAGCCAGAGAGGATGTTGGCGAGGTTGAGGAGGGGACCGCTTGCACACATAGCGCCCAGCTGTAATTGGGTGCAGCTGTGGCAGATCTGGGTACATGCGGAGTTGTAACTGTGTGTATGTGAACTCATGTATGTGAGGCCATGTGACTGTGTGATTCCATGTACGCCCTGGGTTCCAGGCCAACCTCCTTCCCTGGGGGCTCAGGAACCATGGTTTTAGTGACTCAGGGGCTTTGTCCCTCCAAGCCATCCCCCAGCCCCAATTCATGCCCAGAACTTGTTCTTCATAGTCATGCTTTCTTCAGGAGCCCAAGTGTGGGGCTGGACAGGGACTGCAGTACCCGAGGAGAATCTGCTCTGGTTAGAAACTGGACACTGCTTCAGTCCCCTTATAAAATGTATTCAGGTAGAGCCAGACACTCCTGTACAAATCAGTAGCGCCCAGTTCATGAGCACGATGCTCTGTATACTGGCCAGCACCTCTTTCTGCGGATCCTCTGGCCTGCCCTGTGTTGGGCTGCATAATCCAGCCCCCAAAAGCTGCTTGTTAGCTGTCTGAGATGCAAGTAGCCTTACAAACTGCCCCATGGCCCTCCCTGCCCCAGTCCAGGCCCTCCCAAATAGAGAGAGTGGGTAGCTGGGCACCAAGAGAAGCTTGATTAATGATTGACTTCTTTAATATTTAAACAAAGCTCATCTCCATCCACTGCGCTCCATAGATGGCCTTGTTCAACACACACACCTGCTGCCTGGGCTGTTGCCCTGGGGATTGAGCACAGGGCAAACAGCACCTTTCCAGGCTCAGTGGGGGAGGGGAGGATGGGGAGGGAGAGCTTTAGGAGGACATTGGGGAATGAGTACTCCAGGGGCAAACCTAGGAGGAGAGAGGGAAGGCCTCTGCTCCTGCCTCTTCTCACAGTTTCTTTCTTGTGTTGTCTGTCTAACCCAAGGGTGCCACACCCAATATATGGGAACTTACTGAGTTTGGACTGAGGCCCCAGGGGCTGCTGGGGAGGCCGAGAATCAATGCCTGTCAGAGATTAGGGAAACCTTGAGGAGAAGTAGCATCACAGCCAGTAACCACAGAGGGGAGGCACAGGAGCTCCAGTTGAGCTAGTGGGAAGGTGGCCAAAAGATGGAACTGGCTCTCTCTAGATTAAGGATCTGAGCCCAGAATTCAGGGGTTCAGGGTACAGAAGGACTGTACCCATAGGCTGAGACCTTCATGGATCCTACCTCTGCCCAGGTTTCAAGAGGTCTTCTTGAGTTCTGGCTGAGCCCAAGCACTTCCTGTTCTGACCGCAGGCTCCACAGGCTCCTCGTTTGATGTCTCTGTCACTGCTCTTGCTTTGCTGTGCTGCAGTGTCCTTATTTGTCCCCATTACTAGCTGTCAGCTCTGTAAGGGCAGGACACTATGTAACACCTGTAGCCAGCACAGGCCATGGCACACAGTGGGGACTTGGAAAAGGTATGAGTAAGTGAATGAATGAGTGTCCCACTGCCCAAATCCCTCCTCAGAGCTCAGCACCCCACACACTGAGCCCATGAGAAACAGCCCTACCTTTCCTCCACAGACAGCTTATCACCCCACACACAGGGTCAGCCAGGACAACTCTGCCCCCAGCAGGAGGCCACACTTGCAGCCCTCCCATGCCCCAGCCACAGTGGCCAATGAGGCCCCCAGCAGGCATTGTGGCTCTGCATGGCAAAGGCACATCCGACCCAGGACTCTGAGCCTCTCACCTGGACTCCAGCAAAAATCTCACTGAGCCTCCTTGTCCATTTTCCCTCCCCCACCCACCACTGTAAAATTTCTTTCACTGGACTATTTCCTTCATGTCTAACTGCTAAACAACTTGGTTGTCCATCAGTTAAATCTAGATGTTCAAAATGGCATCTGAGGGTCTTTATCATTCCCTTCTTCTCCCACCTGACCTCTCCCCCCCCCCCCCCCAGCTCAGCCCCCTGCACTGATCCCACCATCAGCCTTTGCCTAAAGTGCATGCCCCATTTGAATGCTTGCCCTCCAAGGCCTGGCTTGAAACTGGCCATTGGACCCTCTGCAAAGCTCCAAGCCCACCAAGATGCTCAGTAAACTGTGGTCCCCTTCTCTCCCTCCTCTCCAAGAAGCCTCTTTCAATAAACCTCACCCCATCCCCATCTGCTTATTCTATTGTATTCATTTTCAACCTGTACTCAGAAACTTTTATCAGTGGTCACTTGCTAATAGGTGGTTTTAAATCTGTTCTCTTCCCAAGCAGTGCCTGTATGCTAAGAGCTCAAGAAAGCACCTTATTGCATATTTCTTGTACATCACTCTGCCAGGACCAGGTCCCGGATGGGCTTGCCACTAGGAGTTCTACGTGGGCACTGGGGTTCAGCTGGAGGGCACCTGGTAAGGATGGGCAAGAGGTCTAACCGTACCATTGCTGGAGTCCAGCCCAACAGTCAGATCAGGAAAGAGACCTTCAGCAGAAAATCACTCGAGGCCTCTAACACCCCCTTCTGCGCCACCACCCCCGACCCCCCCTTGGCCTGAGAGAGACCGCCTGGCAACGTCTGGACTGCCCTCTGGTACCGGGAGCGGGTCTGAGAGGGGCCGAGACTGTCCCTCATTGGGACAGAGCAGAAGCTCCTCCAAGAAGTCCTGGAGCGGGACTCCTGCCCAGCTCCGCCCCCTAGGAGTCAGGGCCCCGCCCCTGCCCCGTTGAGTCCCGGAGAAGTTGCCCCCGCCCAGCCGCCGCCGCGCGGCTTCTTTCAGCACCGCGGCGCGGACAGCTCCCGGGCGGCAGCGGAGGGGAGGAGGCGCGGCGAGCGGCCGGCCGGGGAGGGCCGGGGAGAGCAGCAGAGGGTAGACGCAGGCGGGCGGGCGGGGCACGAAGCCCCGCGGCCCTCCCCGGGGGCGGCGCCCGCCCGGAGCCGGACGCTGCGGAGCCAGAGGGCAGACGGAGACGCAGGGAGCCGGGGCGCTGGTGGCTCCAGGCAGAGGCCGCAGCCGAAAGATGCCGGTCCGCAGGGGCCACGTCGCGCCCCAAAACACTTACCTGGACACCATCATCCGCAAGTTCGAGGGCCAGAGTGAGTGTGTGCGTCGGGTGGGGGCATGATCTGGAGCCCTGGTTCGGTGGCCGGAGTGGCCGGAACCCTTTACTAACTTCAGATAGAGCAGGGTGGGGGGGTACCTGAGGCTGAACGCAAAACCCTTCTCTTTAATGTCCCCGAAACACCTTCTCCCCCAGGGAGCCCCCGCTTACCTCCAATGCTGCCCTCTCTTCTACAGCACGGTGGGCAGAGCGCAGTGCTCCCCTCCACCCCTGAGCAGTTTTTTTCCCCTTCCAAGCCCTGACCTCCCCTTCTATCACTGTACCAATTCCCTCTTGAACCGCCCCCCCCAATTCCTTCAGAGGTTTCCTTTTCACCCTCCTTTTCACCTCCTAACCCTAGCCACTCTGGTCTTTCCAGGAGCTCACCCAGGCCTGGCCCCGGTCTGGTCACACCCCTTTCCCTGCCTCCAGGAAGCCTTGGGCCTCCCTCTCTCTTCATGACCCCATTCATTCCTGCCCTGGTCTTCCCACAATCCCCAGCCCTGACTCCCCTTCCCTCACTCCTCTAATCACTCTCCTACTTCCCCCTCCTGCCCACCCCCTCATTACTCCCAGGAGTCCCCTGACCTTCCCCCATGGCTCTGGCCTCCTTGGTCTTCCCACCCTCCCCAGACCTGACCTCCCCCCTCCCCCATTCTGATCACCGCTCTGCTCCCCCATCCAGATCCCCCCGACTGCTCCCAAGAGTCCCTATGATCTTTCCCTCTCTGCTGCTTGATCCTGGTTGCCATGGGCTTCCCACCTCCCACCCCAGGTCGTAAGTTCCTGATCGCCAATGCTCAGATGGAGAACTGCGCCATCATTTACTGCAACGATGGCTTCTGTGAACTCTTCGGCTACTCCCGAGTGGAAGTGATGCAGAGACCGTGCACCTGCGACTTCCTCACAGGCCCCAACACCCCACGCAGTGCCATGTCCCGCCTGGCGCAGGCCTTGCTGGGGGCCGAGGAGTGCAAGGTGGACATCCTCTACTACCGCAAGGATGGTGAGGTGCCCTCAGGCCACAGGTTCTGCAAGGCAGGCTTGGCCCCTCTCTTGTCCAGGCAGAGTGACCATGGGAAGGGCACTGACCCAGAGGACCAAAGGGTCTGGATAAATCTTGTCTCCTCTCTGGGCCTCTGTTTCCTCATCTGTAGGGTGAAGTGATGGACACTGGATGAAATGCCTTCTGAGGTCCCTTTCAGAGGCCAGGGACCAGACTGAGCCACCAACTGGTCCTGGCCCCATGCAGGGCCTCCCACACCACCATCCCTCCCCCATGTCCCTGGTCTCCTGGCTGTCCACTCTGTCACTGTCAGCCCCAGCTGTCAGGCAGCTGGGATGGAAATTAACCTTTACTCATCTCCATCTGCTCTAGGGATTAGGGGAGGAGTCACCCCCTCAAGGCCTCTGTGGCCAGGCAAGGCATGGGGCAGCTGGCTTGAAAAGAGTGCTGGGTCTGGCTCACCAAGCCCTAGCTCCCTGGGGAGATAGGGTCTGGAGTTTGCCATGACCTGGAGGCTCATCCTGTTTGGGGTGTTATTGCCAGCCCAAGATTACTGCAAACAGAACAAAAGCATAGGTCAGGGGCTGAGGATGAAAAATCATGGAGCCCTTTAAGACCCTCCCCCCAGTGCTTCACTGGATCCGTGAGGGGAGGGAAGAGAGGAGTGGGAATTAGGATCCTGAAAGTCCCTTTGAAATCACCTGGATCAATGGCCCCACCAGCCTGGTTCTGAATCAGAATTACCTGGAGCTTGTTTTCCAAAACACACCTTCCCTAGAGAGAGGCTGACTCAGAGGTGTGGAGGGAGGACAAAGCAGGTGTATTTGTAAAAATCTCCTTGGCAGTTTGGGTGTTTTGCCAAGTTTAGGAGCCACTGGCTTAGATAAATCCCTTCCTTTCATGGATGAAGAAACCAAGGCCCAAGAAAAAGAAGGGACTTGGCCAAGATTCTACTGCTTGGGTCCAAACTGGGACTGGACCCCAAATCTCTGGATTCTTCCCTCAGAGATATCTGGTCTGAATAATCCCAAGAGGGGAGAAAGGAACCCAACAGCCTCTGTGTTTGGAGGCAGGACTCTGGGGGAAGGAAGCCTCAGAAGAGGGCCCTCCCTGGGGAAGAAGGAATGAGGATCACTGGAGTGCAGGTAAAGGGCAGGCACTGGGGCTGAGGGGT